GCGTGGTTACTTATTATGAATACCTACTTAATTGCTTTTGGTACAGCTTTATAATGTTTTAGCCTTATACGTTCATAAAAACATAAATAGATTTAAGTCAACTAGAATAGACGAAGCAGACATGGGGAGAAATTAGCGTGCCAAAAAACCTTTTCCTATAGGAAAAACACCTTTTGTATGGCAATCAAGGTTTATAATAATTTACCAAAAACATTAAAAGATGTTCTCAGTACAGTTTTTAACATTACACCTTTGAAAAAAAACTTTTGTAAATTCTTTAAATGATTATTTGTGTTGTGTATTAATATTAATTTGATAACGCCATTATGCAGAATATGCAAACTTTCGATTGTATCACCATTACATTATTATTTTTATTCCACAAGTATTTGTATACTATTTATAAGTTCGTCCAAATCAGATGCTGCCTCCAGCCAAAAAATGTTTTTCATTTAGCGAAATTGGATGCAATCAAAGAAATGCAATATCGAAATAATGGAGTAATAAAAAACAATAGGTATCTTGCACGCATCTCACACGATGCAACCTTATGCAACGGAAAAAGTTGTACATTGGATAATTAAAAATGCCTTCGTTTTAAACCATTTTTAGTGTTTTCCGTATTATGTAAGATGTTGGGTAGACATATAAATATCATTCATGTGTCTGTTAATAGCATACTAAAACTTTATTAAAAACAACTAATAATTAAATTAGTTGAAGTTTGACCGCCCAGTTAATACAGAGAAGAGAGGCTGGAAAAATTATATTCCGGGAAAACTATAATTGTTTCGAGTTCAGTCTCTCCTATTTACCTTGAAATTTGCACACTACGTTACTTACCAATAGCGCTACAACTTTTTAGGTCTAGGCTTCAGTTTTCTGTATCTGTTCTATACCGGTTTCCGCACAATATTTACCTTCAAGCGCGTGTTAAATGTGCACATAGCAAGCATTGGTGCCCATCCGGGGATGGAACCTACGATCCCAGGTCAAGTTGAAACGTTGAAACCATTAGGCCACCACTGCTGACCATGTAACAGGTCTTCATTTGGTAGTGAAAGGTGGAAGTCTATTTATTAGTTTTATAAATTTAAAAATTATAAAACTAATAATATTACATACAAAAAGACACAAAGAAATAGGTACAGGTATGTTAGTTAAGCAGACACAATATATTATGTCATAATTAATTGGCAAGCGTTAAATGAGGACATACAAATGTCCATGGGCATATTGCTTTGATGCGATCAAGAGACGCACGTTCTAGCAACTAGGCCAGTAAAACTAAAAAAAATTACTACTTTTATTAATTTAATAAAACTAGTTTATTTTATATAAAAATAAACAACTTTTATTACATAAAATAAAAGAATTTATAACTATAACATAGCCATATTAGATATATATTACTCTCGTGAGTTTTTATCAACAAATTGCAACGAATCAATTTCGTTTTGCTTTCTATATTGTTACGTATATTACGCATTTCAAGAGACATTATTACAGAAAACTTTCTATCGTAACGCAATTTAAAATTGTAATTTAAAATAAACGCAAAATGAACGAATCGAATTTTTATTTTATCGCATTAGTTATTAAGTGTTGAAACTCACTGATTATCCCACATCGCTTGCTTCTGAGGTTTCCTATATATGTTTCCAGTTTCCAGTAGAAGCAAATATCACAAATCGCTATAATACAGATAACACAATACCCCTAATTTAAATTTCGAACTCTGTTACGTAGATTGTAACAGAGTTCGAAATTTAAATTAGGGAATTAACAAATGACGATTCGATTGTCAAAATTAATTAGACGTATAAATTGAATATGGTGATTTTTTAATGTTTCTATGTTCATTTCTTAATGGGTACATCCATACTACAAGTATATAACAAAAAAGGACTTGTTATAGAAAACTTATATATAAGAGTCCAACAACTCAACAATCTAGGTACTTAATATAGTGTTCGAAATTTAAATTATGGAATTAACAAATGACGATCATAAATCATTAGATTTAGTCATTAAAGCAATTATTTCTTGAATTTGGTATTTTTTTTATGATTTTACGTTCATTGTATAATATGTGTGTATACTATATTAATAAGGGACTTCTTTTACAAACATTAAGAGTCCAACAACTTAACAATCTACTTAAAATGTATATAGTTCGGAATTTAAATTATGTAATTAGCTACGTGTTCCAAAAAGGATCTCAATAGCAAACTAAGAGCTCAACCGAGTTACGTGTAAAACTCGATTTGCTCTCAAAGTGCCGGCAAAGTGGACACTTTCACTCTTCACGCCCGAGCGAGCACAATTGTTTAAGTAAAAGCTCAGATTTCCTGAACAATAATCACCTCTCAATAAAATTTTATACTGCAACTTATGCAATTGTTACGACTCATTTGTCGCATTAGGTGTACAAAGTATGGCGTAATACACCTTTAAGTAAATCCGTGTAAAATTAAGAAAAATGCCGTTAAATTCATGAAAGGAATTGCTATTTGTATATTTAGAAAGAAAACAAACAGAATCAATATAAACAGAAGTGACAGAGATAGTTGCCTATCTCATTTCATCATAGCATATACATAAAAGGACAGAAAGAATGAGTTAAGAAGAGATAATATATATTATATACAGTAAACCCCCTTAAAGCACGGTACTCTTACAACGCATGTTCATATTACGAGTTTTCAGTCCCTCGTATAACACATGTATTCTCCCATATAACGCAGGGATTGCACACGTTATATTTCTGTACTTTGACATAAATAATGATTTGTATGCACTTATTTCGTTCATAACATAGTGTTTTCCTAAAACCTATTTTATATTTAATTAGAAACGTGAATCATTTATACATAATGCGTTATATGGGGTCATACTAGCGCGTTATGAATGAGAATGAGAATACTCCTACAACGCGTTTGCTAGAACGCGGAACCAACTTTAATTTTAATTGTTCAACACTATCGTATTGGCTTACGTCTATATAGTATATATGAATTAAGAAAATAGATAATAAATTTATTAGAATCACATGTTTAGATATTGGCGACAAAAATAACATAATTTTTAAACGAACTTCCTGTTCAATTTGGTGATTCACTGTACAAATCGCTTTGTATCGTAAAATTTGGAGGGAAAGTAAGGAATAACATCATCATCTATTACTTTAAAAAGTTCCAATTTGAAACTTGATTCCGAAACAATTTTAATCTGTTCTATTGATAAGGGTCTGGAACTGGAACTGTCCGTATACATTCCCAAAACTATTCTTTGCCGGTAAACGAACCCTGCCGTGTGGGTGGTCTTATCAGAATTGATTACAGTACTATTGTAAAAGGTTTGTAGCGAATCGTAGATACGCACTTCAATGTAAATACTATTTTGGTGTAATTTTTCTATAATATTTTGATGTATGTGGCAACAAAAATACCGGTCGTTAAGAAAAGAAGAAAACAAAACGTCACTCAGGACAGACTTTAGACGAGTGAGATATGTATTTTTTTCCATGAGCTTTTCTATAAGAATATAAATTAATTACTCTTGTTTTGTGAAGAATAAACCAATTAACAAAGTTAAATATGGGTTGTGATTAATTATAAGATAGAACATCCCATAGGTTCATTAAATGTGATGGATGATTTTAATTTAATTAATTAACTTAAACACGTAGGCGAAGTTAAACTATTATAACAAAATTTTTGTAGATCACGTATATTATGAATTCATTTGTCACTTTTCATTATAGCATAAATGTAATTTGCTAGAAAGAGACAATTTAATAATAGTAATTACGAATAATTGAAATCTCTTTGTAAATTATTATTATGCATTTTTTACATGTGTCCTTTTTTCTCGTCCATTACACTGATTACATGTTTTAATTGCTTTTTCTAAGAAAAATAGTTTTCTAGCTAACTTCATCTAATTTAAAAAAAATTCTCGCATTTGTTGCCTGGAAAAGATCGCTCGAAAGCGATAAGGCCCCCAGTTGCCCTCCTTTTTATTGATTTATTTTAATTGTTATGTATACTTGCAGCGAAGTGTTATTAAATGAATTTTCTATATTGAAATTGGATGTTTAGGATTTTCCTTATAAAGTTATTGGCCCACTTGTTTGCTCAGTATGATTCATATTCAGGGAAAATCGCAATCAATGAAGTGTAACGAACGAACATAATATATGATTACGTTGTGCTTCGTAGTGGAAAATTGTTTACATTGGTTCGGACACAGATCAAAATCAGACTAATAAAGTAGTTATTCATTTATAAAGTTGTCGAATAGTTCATTGATATAATGCTCATGTTAAACTGAAAATTAAGCGTAACTTTTAAAGGTTAAAAGAATCAAAAACATTGCATGTAAGACTCAAAATTTCTACAGGAATAGATAAAATGGCACAGCTAATAAATAATTCAGTGGCGCTACAACCTTTTTAGGCCTGGGCCTCAGATTTCTGTATCTGTTTCATGATCATTTATCAATCTAATAGGCAAGTAGGATCAGCCTCCTTTGCCTGTCACACGCCGTCGACTTTTTGGGTTTAAGGCAAGTCGGGTTTCTTACGATGTTTTCCTTTACCGTTCGAGCGAATGTTAAATGCGCACATAGAAAGAACGTCCATCGGTGTCCAAGAGTCGCACGCTGAAGCCACTAGGCCAACACTGTTCACATATACACATAAATGGCATATACTGTAATTTAAAAAAAATAGAAAAACGTCTTTCAATTTAGTGTGAGGCCTAAGATAGGATCTTGATGGTGGTTGAATAATTCATGAGGTATATAATCTCGCGATACCTACTTTAATCGCGTTGGCCACGCCCATCCCACCGAATTATGATACTTTTGTTATTGAGTTGTGTTTTTTTGTTTATGTGTTCAGTGACACACAAAGAGCCAGTTTTACCGTAACCGAATTGCACTCATTTTTATTACACTAATAAATTAACATTGTTGCATTTTCTGGTAATTGTTTTATGGTTGTGAACAATAAACATCCTGTTCTGCCTTACCAAATTGGGGCATGGGACAGACATGATTCTGAAAAAATTCTAATAGACAGTATCCATATATGAAAAAATAGTTCTAGTTCAGCAAAACTGACGATAAAAATCAGAATTATGATCTGCCTCGTAACATATGTCAAATATCAATACTTTTTATAGGAAAAAACTCACTAACGCATGATTCACTTAATAGTGCAGCAAGTGTTTTTGTTAACAAATGTCACTAGCAATTTTGTTTTAACAAATCTAAAAATAAAATCGGAAAAAGATTTTAAAGAAAAAACAATATAGGTATTCACATCTATTTTCATCTTTGCATTCCTAAAATCAAGCAAGATCCAAATATTACATAGTTTTTCAATCTTCTAGTCTAATACAATGAACTATGCTTATGTGTGTACCTAAATCGATCTGAATAAAAGGCTATATAATTATAATTATTATCTATGCATAGTCCAATTTTAAAGATACTAAATAGTAATTCATCATAACCATTAGACAATGTAACATCATAAGATACACCCATCCATTAATATTACATCACAGCCGCCCACCGCGATAAATCGCAATTAACGTCATTTATCATCGGCAATAAGGGCTAAAATTGTATAATGATAAAGCACGTGGGATTGAAAACGATAGGTATCTTTGTATTTATTACTGAAGCGAATTGCAAACAACGTAATTGAAAGCCGATGAACAGATATGCCCTGAAGCCATTTATGATTTATATTTATGTAATAATTATATATTATTTCAATACAAATTAAGACTTGTATGATATAAGTTTGTATAATAAGTCAAGAGAATTAGTTTTGGAAAGTGTTTTCCTTCTGAATATTGTATTTGTACTCGTATAAGGGATGGTGGGTACAATAAATTGGAAACCAGGCGGGGCTTACAGTTGGCCTACCATGTACTGAAAGTCTTGCGTTAGTGTGCAACCCAAGTGTGCTCCAAGAACTCGGATTCTTTGTATCTATGGGATATGTGCGACGGCGACGGCGAAGGCCAAGGTTGTTTGCCATACAGAACCAGTCTGTTGCACAGATCCCCGTTATCAAAGACGTTGCGCTACTGAATGCTGTCTCCACACTATCGACATATTTATATGTTCGCAGTGTGAATTCACAGTAGCGATATTGTGTATATTATATATGTCTTTAATATTGTATACTTTATTATATTTTTTATCAACATTATCGTTTGGCATAGTCTGTAAGGATAATGTATGAAATTTTGTAGTAAATAAATAAAACATTGACACTTGACAGATATATTATGACTGTCTCACGAGGAGTTACGGAAATTAATCGCCCTCTGAAGTTAAATTTAAGTAAGAATCTAAATATCTCTATGTCTTAAATTCCCGAAAATGCAAAAAAGACAAAACCTAAGGACTTAACACAATATAGTTTTATAGCTAATCGTAATTATAAAAGGTTAAAAGGTATAAAACAACTAAAAGATAGGTAAGGTACTACGGAGACCATCATGATGCAAACGGATTGATGGCTGGCGAAGTCATCTCACGAACTAGATGCAAAAAATATGGAACAGGTCCGGTTGGAGGTTCTTGGTCGACCAAGCCAAGGCCCGATGAGCTGTTGCGCCTTGATGATTAAATAGACACAAATTATTTTTCATAGCGTTTATTAAAAAACAATTAGATATAAAAGCGAGAGAATATTTACGAGTAAAATGAATCGCTTAGCCTCAAACTATAAAGGCAATAAAATTGTATAAATTATTCATTATAAACTAAACAAGTTAACATTAGGGCGCAATAAAATTCTAATATTTGTGCAATATTACGACCGAATTAACATAAATACCCAATTAGAACAAGAACAAACTTTTAGCGAAGTAAACCGATACTATCGGATTGATTTTATACAAGGTAATATTTATTATCAAACAAAAGTAATCTATTATACTCGTTATAATGACAATTTATTACGAATGGCTTGGTAGCAAATAATACGGTACACAGAAATAAATGTTAAAATTATTATGAATTTCTTGATTTTTAAAATAAAAGGTGATTCGATAAATATCAAAAGACGATTGCTGTGTAAATTTTTGGTTGGTATGGGGGTACGATCCACGAATGAATTTATTTTTTAATTTAAAATTGACATGTACGCTGAGGAATAAAGCATTAAGACTCGAAAAAAAAACACTAAAACTGGACGTTATGCCGACATTTCAAACCATTTGAATTAGTGTTAGTGCTAACGTACACAATAGCTCACAATAGTGTTAAGTGAAAAAATAGAATCCAGAACTGAGTTTCTTATAAGTAAATTAGGCTAGACTTAAATTACTTATTAGTCTTAAGTTAGTCCAGATCGTAAGGTTCCAATCTTAGTGAAGATACAATGTAATAAAAAAAATTCTGACGTTACATACTTATAAATATATTTAAAAAAACAGTTGTATATGTGGTTCTTATAAGTCACTTCATCAACATTAATATTGGATTAAAGGCCCCAAAGCTTACTCAAAAGATATTGTATATGTGAATCATGAACTGTCGATGAAAAATTCACTTTAAAGAAGAAATATCTAGCAAAATATAGTACATATCTCAATTTACAGTAGATAATTAATCAATGATTTAAAATCAAATTAAACCATAAGTTTTTTTATAGTGTTTTAAATAATTGATAGATTGTGGTTCTATTTCCGATTTTTAAAGTGTTTTTCAAAAGTTCTAGTTCTACGTAACCCGCGATTATAAATACAATTTGTGACAAAATTTTATATTTCAAACGTTATTCAATTACAAGGAAGTAAAAGTTAGTTGGTTCAGGGCCGCGGCCCCAAGTTAGCGCTAACCTATTAACAAAAACTATTCATAGTCAACAGAACGAAATACGATTGTATCATTCAATTATACAAATAAAATAGGCCGAAGTTTCACAACTAGGAAGTAAAAGTCCTTGCATTTAAGGATAGATACGAAATGTCCAGCCTAACTTACGGTATTTCAAAATCCCTGTGACAACACAGTCACTGCTCGAACCACTATAACGAACAATTTGCATAAATGCACCTGTACTGAATCGCCGTGGGCTTATCGCAAACATATCGGTGGACACGATTTTAAATCACAAGATATCGAACAATGGGGAAATACAGAATTATAAATTGCGAACATAGAAGGGTCTACACATAACGAACTAAGCATAGATAATCTTAATAGAGAGTATTAAGATCGTATCTAAACAATAAGTAGTATAAAAAATGAATCACGATATAAATTAATAAATACCCGAACACTTCCTCGTGCCAATACAATGAATAGTTTTTAATAAAGGCATTGACTGCGGAACTCACGTTTAGGGAGAAACGGAATTTAATGTTTCTTTCTGTTTTTTGTTACAGAAGCTATCAGCACAGCAGAAGACCAATCTACATCCGCATCGTGGTGGCAGGCGGGTACAGCAACACCGTTCCGGGATACCTTAAATAATGGATTCGCATCAACACATGGGCTTGTACAGACACACCCGTCTGGCAATGATCCCTTTTCAACATTCGGAACAGTTGACAGCACAGCTGGGCCCTCCTCTAATCCCTTTGCGCAAACTAGTGGCAGTGGTCCACTTAGTGGTACCTTCAGGAGTAACCCTCTCCCACCCCTGACGAGAAACGGGAATGGCAAGCTGGGCTTGAAACATTTGGATTTCACGAGCAGTGCCACAGCTGAACTTAGACGAAACTCGGCCCTATCAGCTCCTGATGAATGTGCCAGAGCATGCAGAGAAAACGAGCCACCGAGAATTTGCTACTATCATTTTACACTCGAGTTTTACACGGTTCTTGGAGCGTGAGTACTTGTTAATTGATATGCTAACTGTATTCAGTATCCGGTTTCGCTTTAATTCGCGGGCGTTAACTAGATAATAAGAATTCTATTGTTTTTAACAACTCACATTTACTGTTATTTATGAATTTCCTGTTATTTTTTTTATTATTGCATCCTTTGATAACGTATAATGCATTTAATTTTGTTCTACATTTTATACTTCTATGAATAAAATTCAGGCAATTTCAATTAAGTTTGAATATTAGTGGATGTTAAAAGTGTATGTAATTGAAGGAAAAATTTTGTTACATTTGACTGGTCATGAAACTACCCACTTTCAGCACCATTTATACGGTCCAAGGGATCTAAATACAACTACCGCATAACATAATTGATAGGCGTCGTCTACAACGTCAATATGTTATATAAATAATGAGATAGAGTTTTATAGTTAATACATTTTATTATATGAGCAACTGTTACGTTAAATGAATCCAGCTAAACCTCAAATTTAATCAATTAAATTAAAACTTTACGAATTTTTATTAGGTAATTCTTTAGCTTGTCCTAATTATTTACTTGTTTGTATAAGTTTCGTGTGTGATTTTTATTGGTTATGCATTCTTGTCAATAGGGTCACTTGTTATTGGATTGTGTTCTTTTGTAAATGTGATTGTAATTGTAAATATGATGAGCAGTGTTGGCCTTTAGCGTGCGACTCTCATCCCTGAGGTCGTAGGTTCGATCCCCGGCTGTGCACCAATGGACTTTCTATGTGCGCATTTAACACTTGCTCGTTCGGTGAAGGAAAACATCGCGAGGAAACCGACATGTCTTAGACCCAAAAAGTCGACGGCGTGAGTCAGGCACAGGAGGCTGATAAGTGATAACCTACTTGCCTATTAGATTTAAAGACGATCATGAAACAGATTCAGAAATCTGATACCTACCTAACGCCACTGATTAAAAAAAAATGATTATTTCTTTTTTCAGAGCTTGTCAAGTCTGCACTCCAAATGCAACAAACGTTGTGTGGTCGCATTGTCAATGTGTGTTGGCTGACGGAGTTGAGAGAGGTATTCTATCGACAAACAGAATGTTGCCTGGACCCTCGATCCAAGTGTGTGAAAACGATAAAGTAGTCGTTGATGTCGAAAATCATATGGAAGGCATGGAAGTGACAATTCACTGGCACGGTATCTGGCAACGTGGTTCTCAGTACTACGATGGTGTTCCTTTCGTAACTCAATGTCCTATACAACAAGGAAACACTTTTAGGTAAGTGAATCAAGTCTACACATATTTCTTGCTTATGCAGTCGAATAAAGTCTAAGAGAATAAAATATACGTAATAACATATATATAGGCTCGCTTACCTGCTACTTTTAATGGTCCAGTGAATATCCTATCTTGCTCTTACAACTTAATTATTTACATCAATATATTTTACAACAGTCTTCCAACTTACTGTAACTTTGTTTATCATGCTCTTAATGAGGCTTAAGTTTCTATTTAGTTTTATTTTTTTCTTCTGTATGCTGGGGTTTAATTTTTTACTTGCTTCTTTAAAATAAGATCAAATATAATTGAGGTGTATGTGCATGTATGTAAAATTTGTGAAGTCATATTTTCTTGTATATTTTAACCATACAAGTTGTTGTAGGACTTATATATATTATTATAAATAAATAAATAATATATATATAATATTCAAATACATATTTTAGTTTCCTTTTAATTTTCACATCTTATTTTTAGATACCAATGGCAAGGAAATGCAGGTACTCACTTCTGGCATGCGCACACTGGTCTGCAAAAGTTGGACGGTCTTTATGGAAGCATCGTTGTCCGTCAACCGCCATCAAAGGACCCTAACAGTCACTTGTACGATTACGATTTAACCACACACGTGATGCTTCTCAGCGACTGGCTCCACGAAGACGCCGCTGAAAGGTATCCAGGTCGTTTAGCCGTAAACACTGGTCAAGATCCCGAAAACGTCTTGATTAACGGTAAAGGACAGTTCAGAGACCCCAACACTGGCTTCATGACCAATACACCACTGGAAGTATTCACAATCACACCTGGAAGAAGATACAGGTTTAGAATGATTAACGCGTTCGCTTCAGTCTGTCCGGCGCAGGTCACTTTCGAAGGCCATAATCTTACAGTAATTGCAACCGACGGCGAGCCGGTGCAACCCGTCCAAGTTAATACCATTATCTCGTTCTCTGGTAAGTTAGATAACCGCATTTCCTTGTAACAATTATGTCAAAAACTCCAATTAAATTATCAAACTGCAAATTACTTAAGCAATAGCCTTCAAGTAAGGTCGTTAGTATATGAGAATATTAAATTGAATATAATCTTGATATTTTAGGTGAACGATACGACTTTGTCATCGAAGCTAACAATATCCCTGGCGCGTACTGGATACAAGTACGTGGACTTGGAGAATGTGGTATTAAAAGAGCACAACAACTGGGAATCCTTAGGTACGCTAGGGGTCCATACCAGCCATCGACTCCTTCACCAACGTACGACATAGGAATACCACAGGGAGTGGTAAGTTTTATTTTATTGTATATAGTACAAAAATCCATGTAAAAAAGCCAATTTATTGTAAATTATCAATATTTTTCACGGGATATATATACCATATTTAGATACACGACGAGGGCATACCGCAGCATTCTTTGGTATTAAAGTTTAGCTAATTTTTTGTGTAATTTACTTAAGTGAATTTATAGTCTCTAAGATCCATGGGAATGTTGAACACTTTATTTACTAATTGGCGGATATTGCAAATAAAATTCTCGTCAATACGCGACAGCGATTTAACTAAGTAGATGTTGTTGCACACGATTTCTTAAACTTTAATATCAGAGCTACCAAAGCTGTTACAACTTTAAAAACGCCGACAAACTTCCCTTAATTTAATAGAAAATTTGTAAGATATTAAATACTGTATAAAATATAAATCATAGTTAGTTGTTATAGTATTATCCAGATATAATATCCCACTCCATATACTGATAACATTTAGCAGGAAGGTTTCGCTTATCACCCATTTAAAAAGCACAATAGACATATGTTATTAAAGCGGCACCTTTCTTCAATTTGTCAAGTTCAAACCCCAGTAGTTAGAAATTAGCTTACAAGTATTGATTGCAATGAAAACAGAAATTATAAATACAGAGAAAGTGGATACCTATTAATTTGTAGCGTAGTTTAATGCACGTAATATTAGTAATTGCACGTAGCTTATCCTAACTAACTATTCAGGTAATGAATCCCTTGGATGCGAGGTGTAACGAACCCAGGAATGATGCCATATGTGTAAGCCAACTGAAAAACGCCAGACACATTGACCCAGCTATTTTACAAGATAGACCCGACGTTAAGATATTCTTGCCATTCCGTTTCTTCGTGTACCGACCGGAAATGCTTTTCCAGCCGAATACATACAACAGATACTTAGGTAAGATGGCATTACAATTGTTACGTCTTTATACCATTTCAATTGAATACCTGTTTAATACGTGTGACAACTTTCACAGTGGCACCGCAGGGAGATCATGTGATTAGTTTAATAGATGAAATCTCTTATATGTCCCCACCTGCTCCTCTCATCAGCCAGTACGACGACATTAATCCCGACCAATTTTGTAACGGCGATAATAGACCCGCCGATTGCGGACAAAACTGCATGTGCACACACAAAATCGATATCCCTCTTAACGCGGTAGTGGAGATTGTTCTTGTAGATGAAGGTATGTTGCAACTAAATTACACGGCGTTACATTACATTTCAATGCAAATTTTTCTAATTATACTTTTCACTTTCAGTACAAATCGTGAACTTATCTCACCCGTTCCACTTGCACGGATATGCATACAATGTTGTCGGTATCGGACGGTCGCCGGACCAGAACGTAAAGAAAATTAACTTAAAACATGCTCTCGATCTTGACAGAAGAGGTTTGTTAGAACGTCATTTGAAACAGGGAGATTTGCCACCAGCAAAGGATACCATCGCCGTACCCAACAACGGATACGTCATCTTGAGATTTAGAGCTACAAACCCTGGCTTCTGGCTGCTTCACTGTCACTTCTTATTCCACATAGTAATAGGTATGAACGTGGTACTTCAAGTTGGAACGCAAGCTGATCTGCCGCCAGTGCCTCCCAATTTCCCGACGTGCGGGGATCACCTTCCACCGATCACGGCCAACTAATTCGGTTCCTAGAACATATTATGTTTACAAACGTGCAAAATTGGTAAACCAGTTGAGTTTTATGTTAACTAAGTGTAATTTTATGTTTGTCTAGTGTGATGTGTTCGGTGGAATCGAAGTGCTCGACTCTACCGTGTGTTTATATTGTATTCGAATGATCAGCTGTAGTTCTTGATAGTATGTGATTATTTAAAAGGTGATTCTCTTTCTGTGTGTATTTTTATCATTATTCTGAATGATATCTACGTGTCGTCAAAATTATTTGAGGCTTATTTAATTGTAATGAACATAACAATTTTGTTCTTGACTTGCCATGTAACGTGTTTTTTTTCAACGTATTGTAAATTTAAAACTAACCACAACATTAATGTCGTGCATTTATGAGTCCCTCCATTTTGCTCTAATATTTATCCGAATGCCTCAAAGTACAACTTAGGGTGTTAAATTAAACATTCAAATGGTTGGGCATTCTGCACGTCGGTGTGAATAAAATTAGTAGATATTTTTAACCTAACTAACAAGCATGGAAACACGTCCTGTAGTGTATTGTAAATATAATCTCCAATTGTAAATACACAATTAACTCGGTTGTATCCATGTACACGACAACGAAATATGAAGACTGCGTACAATTGCACTCACAACCAGACATTGGAGAGCGATTTTTACCTGTGTTTTTAAAAACTCTTATACAAGAGTCGTCTTCATAGAAACCTTCGTTACCAATAAAGTTACCATAAAGTAAGGATTACGTGTCGTATGTTCCGTTTCGGCATATGTATAATTCGGCTAAAAACTTTAAGATATCACACATTCAGAGCAATTTAATATTATAGTGCAACGATTACAAATAAATATATTTATAACATTTTATTTTAAGAAATTTGTAAATTTTTGTACCATTTAATAAAATGTAAAATAAAACCATTTGTGTTACTCAACAATTGCAAAACTCTTGCTAATCAGTGCTTAAAACTGCGATTTTAGTGGGAAATATATTTCTTAAAATTTATTATGTAGTCAAATTCCACGCAGTTTCAACGTATAACGGAAATTTTCCAATTATATAAACACCACTGTAAAAAAATCCTTGTAATTATTAGTATGGTTTGGTTCATCCAGGAAATAGTGTAGTTCAATTTAGTTAGTTAATCACAATTTAGTTAGACATTTTAGAACCCTTGGTGGAGTGGAATTGGATCATAGCAAGGTTGTATTATATTGAATGAAGTTATGATTAAAAATGAATTCAATTTAATTAAAGTTTATTTCATAGGTATTAAATCCACTGGATGCAATTTGCGATGTTAAACGCAATGACGCGGTATGTGTCAGCAATTTAAAATCGGCAAAGGCAATTTCCAAAGACATCCTGCAGGAACGTCCAGATGTAAAAATATTCCTGCCATTTAGATTCCATTTCTATAAGCCGAAAGAACTTTTTAAGGAGAACACATACAGGAACTATTTAGGTGAGCTTTCTTTATGAAGTAAATATAATACTTATTTACTAGCTGACCCGGCAAACGTCGTTTTGCCATGTATATTATTTCTAGGAAACATTTTTTTAGTTCAATATAAATCTACTGTATTAAAAAATAGAGTCTGATCGTGGAGGGGTGAAAATTAAGGGTTGTATGTAATTTTGTATTCTGTATCATAAAATTTAAAACAAGTTTTTTAGTCGAAAACGTAAAAAATAAAATTCTGGGAACACTTAACATTTAGGGGTATGAAAAGTAAATGTTGTCCGATTCGCAGACCTAACCGATATGCACACATAATTCACGAAAATCGGTCGAGCGATTTTGGAGGAATTTAATTACAAATACCGTGACTCGAGATTTTTATATATTAGATTGAAGTTTAACATACATAATCTTTCTACGGTATATGTTAGAAGCTATCTTATATAAAATACACACAATCTTGGTAAACATAAATGCTACAAAAAAATTAAAATAAAAGAAAGGTTAAGGTATGAGATAGGCACTTAACAATGCTTTCATTAAAATTGATCAGCTACTACCGAATATATCAAGCTCCGGATAAGTACTGTTTAATCCGTTATAATCGCGAAGAATTTGAATGAGAGGTGCCTGAACTCCTAAGTTGATTCTGGAAACTTCTGCTGATTGTATCATTTATCATGCATCTAGTGTTGGGCTAGTAGCTATAGCGTGTGACTGTCATCACTGAGTTCGTAGGTTCCAACCCCAGCACGAAGGTAAAGGAATCGTGAGGAAACCGGCATGACTTGGAAAAGGTCGTATGTCAGGCACAAAAGGCTCATCTATTTGACTATTAGTAAAAAAAATCCCGAAGCAGATACACAAATCACCACCAGGCACCAATGTTGTAGCACCACTAGTATTTCTTTTAAAACTCAGTCTCTTCTAATATAAATATTTTCCAGTTGCTCCGGGCGGTGACCACGTTCTAAGTTTAGTGGATGAAATATCGTACCGGGCAGCTCCTGCGCCACCGCTTTCACAGATGCACGAACTGTCTCCAGAGCTTTTCTGCAATGGCGACAATCGACCAGAGAACTGTGCAGTGGACTGCAGATGTACTCATATGATTGATGTACCTCTCAACTCTATTGTAGAAATAGTGTTGGTGGATGAAGGTTTGTTATTTTTATTCTTGCACCTTCTTTGCTAACAACCTGAAGAAGATATATTTGTCGTTCTAGTTTGTAATTAAGGAACTCTAAGGAAGAAATGACTCAATATATATCATATATATCTATTTCCATAATTAAATAATAATATCATTCGCGTGAAGCTGAAACTCTCATAAATCAGTTCAAACAAAGGATCTACATAATTTGTATTAACCTAAACTTTTAAGATTATAATTAGTCACTCTCTAGATTAACTTTGTAGCTTTTGTAACTAGTATACCCTTTGTTAACAATTATATACAGTAAAAGAAATCGTTGATCACTTTTAATTACTATAAGAGAACAATGTGACTCTCATTCTTGAGGTCGTAGGTCCCCAGCTGTGCACCAATGGACTTTCTGTCTATGTGCGTATTTAACATTTGCTTGAACAGTGACGGAAAATATCGTAAGGAAACCGGCTTGCCTTAGATTCAAATAGTCGACGGCGTGTGCCCAGCACAGGAGGCGGATTACCTACTTGCCTATTGACAAATGATCATGAAACAGATACACAAATCTGAGGACCCGAACCTAAAAGGGTTATGGTGCCACTTGTTTTTTTTTAAATATTAGCAGATACTCAGTTCGAAACGACTGTTGTACTAATGATATATCGAAGAATCAGGACGTAACAACCTATGATACATCTTTAAATTATATTTTAATAATCCCTTAAGGAGAAATAATATTGCATTATATATGTATATAGTATGTACTCTTTGAACCTTATCTAACGCGTTTTATTTACTGGATTTGACTATATATAAAATATGATTTTATTTTATCAATAAATAAACCGTACGATTCCAGTTCAATCGCCGAATCTATCTCACCCGTTCCATCTCCACGGGACGTCTTACTCTGTCATTGGCATGGGAAGGTCACCAGACAAGAACATCAAGAAAATCAACCTCAAGCATGCGTTAGATCTTGACAGGAAGGGACTATTGCACAGGCAGTATGATCTACCGCCTTTGAAAGACACTCTGGCTGTACCAAACAACGGATATGTCGTTTTACGATTGAAGGCGGATAACCCAGGTAATTAATTGTATCCGTATTTCCGAACCAATTCCACTTAGGGTCCTTCAAGAAAAGAGCGTACCAATTCTTAATTCCTGTCCATTTGCCACTTAACTGTAACAACACTTTAAATTTAATTTTAAATGTAAATTTGTCGAATCACGGCTCTTATAAAAACATTTCCAAATTTTTACACCGTTCTTACGATTTGTGTGTAGTAATATTAAGGAGGAGCATGGCTTTGGACCTCTTAAAATAATAAAAAAAAATCTGATAATATTGAAAATATTACGGCTGAAAAATGCTTTTTTTTTCGATAAATAAACTCTTGAAAATTTGCTCAAGCCATTTCGATCCAGTTAAGATAGTTTTATTTGCCTCCGTAACTCAGTTGCTTGGTTAATGAAAATGTCTCGAGTATTGGGTTCCACTTCCATCAAAACAAGTGACGGTATTGATTGAAGTCCTCTTTTGTTACATTATGGGATTTTAATTTTTATTTATTAAACAGTATTGTAATTGCTCTTTATTTTTTCAGGATATTGGCTGTTCCACTGTCACTTTATATATCACATAGTCATAGGAATGAATCTAATATTACACATCGGGACGCAGTCAGATCTCCCGCCAGTACCACCAAACTTTCCTCGATGCGGCCATCATTTACCGACTATAACACCACCAAACTATCCTATACACTAACGTTTAGCGGAATAAAGAAGAAATCCAATTACACTTGGTAATACACGCAACCACATACCTTAAATTACTTAACAAAAGCTGGCCAATATTTACGTGATTATATGCAGAGGTGCTTTAGTTACTAACCTTATGAAAGTATTTGCGCGGAATTTCTTTAAAGGCGCAGTATCTTGCCAACGTATAATTAAAGAAGAGAAAAATATAGACGCACTAAATTTCATCCAAAGCAATCATTTTGGATTATTTAGTATTTATTAGTTCCTTTTTTTGATTGGTCAGACGTCGCTTTAAAATCTCATTGTTAAAAGAAGAAAAAAGTTTTACTTCCGAAAATTTTATCACCATGAAGTTTTCATGATTATTTTATTGTTGTTATTCTGGGCTGCGATAACACCATTATTAGGATCCCAATTTATTAAATATATAAAACGGTGCTCGACCATTTTATTAACATAATTTTGTAATTGCTAATAATTACGTAAATATTGACAGGTGACAGTTTTGTTTGGTGTAATTCAGTTTTTGAAGATGTTATGGCCTGATGGGACGTTTAAGCCAAATCGGTTCCTACATTCATTAAATATCTAGGAAACCAAAGCACCTGTTTTTTGTTTCTGACATTTCTGCTAATCGAAATATTTTAATACTTTTGTAAATATTAAGCATTAAGAATACTCGCATAATTATGTTTTATTATAGATTATATTGCTATGTACAACCAAAACAATAAATTTAGTTTAGTGATTATTGCAATTTTGTTAATCATAATTATATGCTTTTTTGCATTTTTGGTTGTGTGAATTATTAAATTCGTTTGTAATGTTGGCCAAATATTTTAAGTGTATTATAATTTTGTAACAATTTGGTTAATATTAAATGAATTTAATAAATAAACACATATAAAAGATGATAAACAAGATTTAATTTCAGATATTTAACTTTGGTGTGGAGATTTTCTCATTTTATAAAAACCAGGAATAATTCCATTATTAACATTCCATTTATTTTACATGTTTCTCGACCTTATTACCGATACTAGGTGATTTAGTTTTTTATTACAAGTACATTATGTTTAAATTATTTTTATTATATTTAATAACAATTAAATTGTATTTAATATTTATTTTAGAAAAGGTAAACGTTACAAATATTTAATAACGATATTCTCCACACCTATATAATTTAATTTTAGTGAATCATAGTCAATTTAAATAAAATATTTTGAAATATAATATATTTTTTATTACCATACCTCTCATTAAGTCGATTCAATTACCGAAGGCATAAATGTAAAACCATTTGTGATTTATCAATTTTTTTCTACAAACAAAAGATTTTCACTCAAAATACTATATCGCACAGTAAACTAATAGTACGATAGCCGTTGTCAAATTTATCCACGTAACTAAAAATTATATTAATTTGATAGTACATTCGTGTCAGCCTACGAACTTTTTAGCCCAACGTTATCTGTTTCATTTGTTATTTTTAATATTGAAATAAAAAAACCTGCATCTGTCACACAAGTATCTTATCGCGTAAGTGCTATACATTAGATTAAATACACCACTATGGGGAGACATTTTTGAGTGTACAGCCAGCTTTGGCTTGATGAAAGGGCATTTAAACAATTTTGTGTTATTCAAATCATTTTATAGGTGAGGGTTATACTTGAAAAAGTTCATCCTTCAAGCATAAATCAGCTGTATTTTTGACATATTTACTACGCAGTACGCTAAATACTTGAGCTGAATTAATATTCTAATAACCCGTAGCTGTTAAAGGTCGTTCTACAGGGTGACACTATCACTACACAGCGATTTATAAATAAGAAATCATTTTAATATTGCTATAAAGCCTAAGTCAGAAGGAAACCTTAAAAAAAACTATTTTCAGAAAAAAAATAAGTTAATTATTTGTATTTTTTTTTCTGTAACAAAATGGTCAGCGAAGAAAGGCTTATTGTTTTCTTCATCATCATTTTTCGGGCATACAATGCCCAGAGGCGATGTGACCACAGAAGAAAAACGATCGCTTGGTGAACATAACCACATGGACCAACTGAAGTAAAAGACTCAACGCCCTCAAAACGACACACGAGTAAGAGCTGGAGAGAAACTGGTTGTAACAGATAATCCAGATGTTTCTTTGCTGACGACGGCGCTCAGGCATGGGCTATCGACGAAAGAGTACTCTTATGTTATTTTGCTATGACTGCGTTTTACACTAGTCTACCGATTAGGAACATGCTTTAATTATTTTTCAGCTTTGGATTATTTAAAACGACACAAAAGCACAATAATTTTAACTAAAAATGCACTCAACTTAGCTTTAATTTGCCATCACCAGAAACACTGATTGTCAGTGGGCCCATACAGACACACATATGAGTATTAATCTCTTAGTCGTTTATGGAATCTTACAACACTATTGTATGCTGGAGGTTCTGGTTTTTCGGTTCTAAAGACGTAGAAGACGTTGCTAGAAAACTGCGCAGGGGATGGATAGGGAGCGAGACTTTCTTTACTTAACATTCCTTATAACAGGGGCTGTTGGAACCACAGAGTATTCTATGCTGCAGGTTCTGGTTTTTCTAGAAAACTGCGCATGTCGATGGTAGCGCGATTTAACAACAACTGTTAAAAGAAGCTGTATCCTATGGAATTATTTTCGATGTAAACGTTAGTAATACAATTTGATACCATAAAACAGCATTAATAATTAGCTATATATGTGCAATTTCAAATAATACGTCTTGGTTTTGATAACTATGTATTTTAATATACTTGCTTTAGTGATAGCACAACCCTGATTGGTAATTACAATATGGCTATAATAAAGGTGTGAAATCTGATTGACAATGTGAGTTATTAGTGAAAATTTAATGGCTATGCACTTCATTGTTTATTTGATTTTAGCGCTCTGTTCGGGAGTATTGACAGGTAAATTTTATTATTAAAATCGATTTATTATATAGTAATTATGCTTACTTTAAAGCTTTTTTTTAATAACTGGATCTAGCGAAGAGTTAATATTAGGTCCTTACATATGAAATTGGCGTTTTGTATGGGAGGAACAAAAAGTCGAATATTTTTAAAGGCATCTGTGAAGGCGATTTGGACTGCCCCATCAGAGTTAAATTTTTTCCAAAATTGCAAGAAGGTGTCCAAATTTCGAAAAAAATGGTAATCTGTTGGAGCAAGGTCCGGGGAGTACGGAGGTTGTCTTAGACATTCCAATTGAAGCTCTTCTAATTTGGTAGCCGTCTGTTGTGCAGTGTGTGGTCTAGCGTTGTCGTGAAGTAGCAGTGGCGTGGAGCGATTGACCAGCCTAGGTTGTTTAGCCGCTAGCTTTTCCATCATGGTTTGCAATTGCTGACAAAAGACATCAGCCGTAATAGTCTGGCCAGATTTGAGAAAACTGCAATGAACAATACCGGCACTAGTCCACCAAACGCTTACAATTAACTTTTTTGGGGTTAATTTTCGCTTGGGGCAGGACTTGGCTGGCTGGCCAGGATCCAACCATTGCGCTGAGCTGTTTCGATTATCGTAAAGAATCCATTTTTCATCACAGGTAATGATTCGGTTTAAAATACCTTCATTATTGTGCCGGTTCAGTAATGTAACGCAGCAGTCGACGCGCGTTTGCCGGTTTGCTTCAGTCAATTCGTGAGGTACCCATCTTTCAAGCTTTTTAATCTTCCCAATATGCTTCAAGTGAATTAAAACAGTTTTATCACTAACACTACAGCCTGCAGCTAACTCGGACGTGGTTTGCGATGGATCCGCTTCCACAATAGCCTTCAATACTTCATTATCAACTTGGCTCTCAGGCCGTCCACGGGGCTTGTTCTGCAGGTCGAAATTTCCAGAAGGAAATCGTTGGAACCAAAAACGAACTGTGTTTTCTTTTGCAACATGACCGCCATACACATCATTCACCCTTCGAGTCGTTTCCGCAGCACTAGTGCCACGGCGGAACTCGTACTCGTAAATAATGCGATACTTTAAGTTTTCCATTTTGTAAAATGAGTGGCGCAAACAGAAAACAACAGAAGAAAAAAACAAATGAATGACGGTCATCGAAGCACAAATACATGAGTAAATAGCTGTACAAATTTGAATTTGGAATTCCTTACCAAAGAGGAGAACATCGTGATTAAAGTGGCCAGTACGAAATACGCCAATTTCATATGTAAGGACATAATATTTTTGATTACCTTTTTTTTATTTCATATAATGGTCATGTAGATGCAATATGAATAAAAATACGTTTTAATTTAGCATTACTATTATGTCTGTCAAAATCTGTAATTTTGCCCAATACAAAACGATCATCTTGAAATATATTCGTGATTATACATTTATAAAAAATCTAACAAATTTATGGACTCGTATAAAACTTTAAAAAAGAGAACAGTGTTGGCCTAGTGGCTTCAGCGTGCTACTCTCATACCTGAGGTCGTAGGTTCGATCCCCGGCTGTGTGGACTTTCTTTCTATGAGCGTATTTAACATTTGCTCGAACGGTGAAGGAAAACATCGTGAGGAAACCGACATGTCTTAGGCCCAAAAAGTCGACGGCGTGAATCAGGCACTGGAGATTGATCACCTACTTAGATTTAAAAAATGATCATGAAACAGATTCAGACATCTGAGACCTAAAGAGAATGTAGCGCCACTGATTTATTTATTTTATTTTTTATAAAACATTCACATAATACCTTTTTTTTGTAAGACATTTTTTTTTCTAGCATCCACAAAGAATGAAGCTGTCCCTCAAGCAAGGATAATTGGTGGCCATGAGGCTAAACCATACAGTCACCCCTATTTAGTATCTTTACAGTTACGATTTCTTTGGCTCCGTGGTCATATATGTGGGGGTAGTATCATCAAAGAAAATTGGGTGAGAAAATTCATAGTTATTCATAATTTACATATAGCTACTGCAAAATTACCTTTTTTGTAAAATACTTCACTAATCATTTTTCTTTGAAGATAGACAATTATAATATATAGTAGTATTTTTATATTCAGTGTTTATCCTCCCAAATTATAAATTGGTTAGTATAACCATTTCTTGAAGGCCGCCAAGTGAGTCAAAAAGTTTGCTAAGTTTAAAGTAACAGGCGATAAAACTTTTAAACAGTAACGCAACGCTTACGTACGAAAATCTAAAGCACTACTCTTAAATGTGCGGAGTAACAAGAATAATTAACAAGATATGTACGCTGTAACATTAATAGCCACTTTGAACTCTTTAACTGTTAAAGTTACCAGTAATCAAACACGATAATTAGAAGCAATTTATTTAATTACGTAATATTTTGTACGTATGTAGTCGCTTAATCTAAACATAGTCTCAAAACATAGCTTTTAAGTAGATTTAAAAAAGTAGTACTTTAGATTTTTGTTCACACAGCGTTGCGAACAAAAATGTTAATAAGTTTTATTTCCTGCTAATTTAAACTTAGCAAACACGCGACGTTAAGATTTGACGACCTTTTCAACAACTTCAAGAAACCCTTATCGGATGATAAACAGAACATAATGTCGTTTATTATAGGTTCTTACAGCGGCCCATTGCATTCAAGAGTCATGGCTTACAAGATGGCTGCCTTTGGAGGCTGTTGCTGGAACAAACGATGTTTATGATTTTGGATCATTAGCTCAAGTGAACTCAGTAGACCAAAGAATACCACATCCCAATTACCAAGGGTATACTTTTAATTTATCGTTAACTAAACAGATAGCCAATACTATTACTGTCCAGATACTGCTACAGCGACGCCGTGTATGCTTAAAGTATCATAAAATTCTTACAAGCCAACTTGGAAACTATTGAAACCAGATTTTATGACTAAGAAACAAATATACTTGTTTCCATTGCAATTGGTTACATCAACGTTAATATAATAATGCTTAAGTAAAGACAAACGGGCAGGAGGCTCACCTGATGTTAAGTGATACCGCTGCCCATGGACACTCTCAATGCCAAAGGGCTCGCGAGTGCTTTGCCGGCCTTTAAGAATTGGTACGCTCTTTTTTTGAAGGACCCTAAGTCGAATTGGTTTGGAAATACTTCAGTGGAAACAGCTGCCACATAGTGGTGGTGTTTCCACTGATCGACGGTGGACCGGCATAAACTGCCTATTAAATCAAAAATTTTTAGAAAACGAGGGAAACAAGCAAACTGAGGTCTAGTCTGGAGGTGGGACTTTTAGTGTAGTGTGTAGTGTCTCTCAAAGTCGCTCGCTCGGCTGCTCGTATCTCAAAACACTTGTATATTACGACCCTCGTTTATCGAGGTACCACTGTAGTTGGTATGTGAAAACTAATCTGATACAAGTGCCCATCTTAGAGTTGTTATTTCTATTACAAGTTTAAAATAATTAACCAAAAAATATTTCCAGCGGAATCGGTCCATATGACATTGCTGTACTTCGAACTGCTACACCGTTCTACTTCACAAGAGAAGTGCAACCAATACAATTACCTTTAAATAGTAATATCGATGGTGAGTCCCTCCAATTGGCCGGATGGGGTGCGTTAAGAACGACCTCCTTCCTTCCAGATTTGCCCAGCAGATTACAAGAAGTAGAAGTCAAATACATTCCTTATGATGGTAAGTTATTCGACATTTATTTTATTTACTCTATATGTGCCCTTTTTAGGATATTAGTCCTAGCTGTGGGCACATGAAGTAACGGCGGACGATGTCTCTTTCTCACATTGAAGCTATGTCACTGTAGGACGAAAAACTGTCCTTGCTATGTAACAAATTTATTAATCACAAGAGCCGAAGGAAGGTCGACTAAAATACTTTGATTGTATCAGTGTAAACGCAACCATCAACCTAGGATATTCATTCGATGTTCATAAATGTACATTGTGTTACCTACTAAATGATTTTGATTGTCTAATGTGTTCACGATACATCAAGTTCGGCGTAAACACAACACGAACATCTTTTTTTGACGAGACAACGTCTAATAAATCGATGAACGCCGGCTGCACGCACGAAAAAGCATGACTCATTGTCACGTTACGCTCATTGTCCCGTTACGCTCATTGTACGCCACATCTATCTCTCTTACACTCGAAGACTTAAGTATGTAATAATTTCATGAATGTTTTGTTATGACGTTGTCACGTTAAGCTATCGTCCGTAAACCGACTTTACAAACAACTATTTTTTTTTTGAAGATTTGTTTATGTGGATTAAATTATTTATTTAATTTATCACATAGTATTGTCTTTGATTTACATAACCATTACACATTTAAAGAAAAAACTGTTTGACCGGATTGAAGTTATGTATTATTATAAATTTACAACTATTTAACATAATTTTAAATTTATCCGACGTTTCACGTGCTTTACAGCGTGCGTGGTCACGGTGACTGAAGACAAAAGATGTTGGATGTCAAAAAGTATCACAGCTGTAGAGAAAGTTGCCTTATCTGTATTTATTACCCCGGAGTTGGTATCGACTAAAAGATGGAGGGTTTTGGCAAAAATGGCTCACGGTGTCCTCTATTTTCGCGGATTGTTTTTCTTGAGATTTTAATTTGGATATTATTGGATCCCAGGTGTTAGACAATTTTAGGCCTTCTCTATTGAAATTGGGGTGTTTTTTGATTTCAATGGCTTCTTTTTAATTTATCACAGTTGATCAATATTTTAAAATTTTGACGTTTCTATTTCAGAATGCAATAATGCTGTTGCCGAACTTCTAGAAAACGATGAAAGTAATCCACTCGACAGAAATGCACACATTTGTACTGGTCCTCTATCTGGAGGTATTGCAGCCTGTAGTGGAGATTCAGGTGGACCATTGATTGAAATGGTACCATCAGAAGCTAATGATGACGAAGCTTATGATGATAACTTTGAAGACAGTGATAAACTTAGGACTAGGAATGATGATTCAAGTATACCAGTCATTCGTGGTATCGTCTCATGGGGTATTAGTCCGTGTGGTATCGAAGGGGGTCCTACCGTATTTACCAATGTCTTTGAATATATCGACTTCGTTAAGCAATATAGCGACACTCCCTCTTCATCAATTAATTAATGAAATAAAACTCTATTAATCACTTAAATTTTATTCAATAAATATACCTTAATCTAATTATTTACATACAATATACAGTAGTCCCTATTACGCGTTTTCCATCCCCCATATAACGTGGTATTTCCCCCATAACGCGGAGATTTCTTAAGTTTCTGCAGTGAGAAATTTATAATGATTTGTCAAGTACATATTTAGTTTTGCGTACCTTTGGACCTGTTTCAATTGTGTTGTTCGTGTCCTAGTTTTTGAATTGTTCAAAAGAACGGTTTTACGAGAATACTTGTACAACGCGATTTCCAATAACGCGATCAGGGTCTACGGCGTTATAGGCGGGATTACTGTACATCACGATTGTTCACATTAAAAATCTCAGGAAATACTCATTAAATCAACTTTAAACAGGCAAATAAAATAGTGCATTATTAGTAGTCTAAGATCCGTTTTCTAGAACGTTAATCGAAGTTAAGTCTACTTTCAGTACACTTTTCACTATGGAGTAGTAGTAGTAGTGTGGACTCAGTTTCCGCACAAGTCCTGGCTAATTAAGCCAGCCTAGCTCCTTCCAGAAGCTCAGAAGTATCCTTATGGTCATATAGTTTTATTTGACAATTATCAAAACGATTGTGACTATGGGCATTAATAAGAAGTGCCTATAACTCTGTGAGTCCCTTTTGTATAACAATACGAACATTTAGCTGCTGAATCTGTTGCTGAAGCTGTAGAAACAGCTTTTGAGGAATCGAAATTTGATCTGAAATTTCATTATTACAGTGGTCAACGATTGGCCAACAAACAAATTCTCTGATAGAATCACTAGTGTGTAGGGAAAGTTAAGTTGTGTTCGTAATATTAAAACTTTGGACCACATGTTGCACCTACAACTCCAGTGTTAATGGAATTAGAAGATCAGTCTTAGTTGAGCAACACATCCGGGGGTTTATAGCTTCCACAGCTAGGTAAAGAATCCACAACCGTCTTAGGTATCGATATAGGAACACTGATAAGAATTGCAGCAGGCAGCGTGAGACTGCAAGACCTGCATTCCAGTAGCCAGTGGCCACCATGATCTGGATTTATTCTGACTATCGTAAAACCTTTGTTGGGGACTGTAACTGTATCTTTCATTGGTGGATTTTGTAAATTTCTGAAAAAGAAATAGTGAGTCAAGACTTGATAACTATAGTGTTTTGGCAGTGTGTAGATTTGAAGTAGTTTTTGTGTAACTTTAGTTCAATCATTTTAGTTCTTACAACTATTTTTTTCTGAATAAATTTTTTGCTGATCATATAATACTTGATGCAGAAATTCACAAAATAGAATTTGCGTAGTGAAATCAAAGGATTAAAGAGGCGACATCTAAATTCGGCCCAAGGTAACCTAATTTGTCTATTTCTTGTCGCTTACTTATTTTGATCGAAAGATGTACTATTGATGCTTTATCTTATACTAATGAAATAAATAAAAAAATAAAAGCTCTATTTAACTATGTTTATGTACCTTTCAATCTGCCCACCCTTGTCTAGTTTCTCAAACTCCTCTTTTGATAAAGGCAGTCCTGCTGGACTCTGCCATGTGGCGACCACGTACATGGGTAGTCCATGCATGTGAAACGTATACGAGTCGTTGCTATGGAAACCTGAAAATTATATTAAACATAAACGTGGTTGCAATGTCTGCGTACACTTTATATACTACCCACAACGATTGTCTCATCATAAATCAAAACTCCACCATAAGCGATACTAATTACACTATATACGTTGTAGCTTCTTTGAGGTGTTGGAAAAAATCTAATTCGTAAAAGAAAATACACTCAAGTTTGTGGAGGAAGAGTTGTGCCATTCCTTCATCCTAAAGGTAGCGACTTCGACCAGTTTAATCAATAACTGGCCGGCCCGAATGCCCAAATGTCTTATATTTAAACTCAGCACTTGGAAAAACTTCGCTATGGTGTTTTAGAATGACATCCAATTAGTTCCAGCTGCTGATTGTACATGTACAGATACTACAACCCTTTTAAATAACCTTTCTTTTCAATGTACTATAACATGTATAGTCATTTACTAATATCATTTATATACGTACAGATATAATTGATATTGTAAGGTAATATGTAACTTCTATGTAAAATTATATATTTTAAGAGACATATGCACGCTATTAAACTTATCTTGGTAAACATGTTTCATTTAAGAAAAACAAGGGCACGACAAATAAATGGAGCACCGCATTACCACAACTGGGAAGAAGTTTTGGAGCTTAAAAGAAATCCTCAAAGGTACGCTCCCACTTAAACTAAAGAAAAGGGTGGTGGATTCGTACTTGCTGCTTTGCCTTCACATGGAGCACAACCTTGGATTTTCAAAAAAATTTCAAGCCAAAATACGTTCGTGCCAGCGTGCGAAATATTCTTGGAATTCAATTACGCGACAAACATAAAAGTATTTGCAGAAACAAAAATAGTTGATGCTACAACTTCAGTGGTGATGGGCAGGGCAAGACGCAAGTAGCCCGTTATACAGATGACAGATGGTCTAAAACAATAACCGAATGGACTGCTCCAAAAGGAAAAAGAAACAAGGGCAGACCAATAGAGCGATGGGCCGACGGGATCGAAAGGGTAGCTGGAAAGAATTTGATGACGGTGGCACAAAATAAAATAGGGTCCAAAAACGTTGGAGGAGGCCTTCTCTCGGACAGGGGCCGCATCTTAGAATATTAGACATTTATTTATATCTATTTTTGTTCAATGTATAAAATATGGATGTGAATAAAGGCGTATTATTATTATATGCACCCCCTTTGCCCTTCATAAGCAATACCTGCATCCTTCTGACGCAACAGCGGATACCTCATATCAGACCGATCAAATCCTCAAATTAGTAATAAGTCTAAAATATAGATTATTATTGATCGTGGACCTTATATGGGGCCCATTAAATTGTCATATTTAATTAAGTTCAATAATTGTAATAATTTGATTTAAGTAAATTAACTATATTTTGTTTTTGAAGTTATACTTCTTTTGGCGCGTCAGGAAAAAATGATGAGAGTAAATTTTTACGATGCACTCGCACACCGTCACAAACAACCGACACCCTGAAGTTAGCCATAGACAAGATTTTAGTTTTTTCTATTGTTAGTGTCGTTTTTTCTACAAATGTAGAATACAATTTTTTTAAAGTTTTTTATCTTGTTACGCCAAAGAAGTATAACTTCTAACGCGTGTAACGTTATTTTTTTGGCATTCACGGCTGGCCCTTACTTAATTACCATGTTCTTGAAAATAAATTATTATTATACTCAATTTACCATCATTTACTAATATCAGTTCCAGTGGTTCATTCTGATTAGCTCTTAGAATTTGCATACATTGTACATCTTTATGTTTATGTATTTCGACGCTGCAGGCAATATCCTTGAATACTTCCCTGGGCTTCAGCAGCAATGGGGCGTTTGGGTAAAGAAAATTCCTGCCATTTATCTGGACAACGCCTTCCTTGAGAGCTGTAAAATTGGATCATTAATGAAGCAGAGGAAAATATGAAGTAAGTCAAAACCGTTTACGACGACATCGTTTAGAACATACCGGTTATATTGACCAAAATCAAAGGTCCCGGCTGAATTCTATTGTATTAGGTACTTAATAACAACCTCATCGGCTGTTACGACTATCGGTTTTTACGACCAAATATGAGTAAGGGATGTCGTTATAACAGATTTGACTGTATTTATAAAAGGTGTCTTTTTCGACTACCATCTTAGATAAAGATGTGAACGAACAACGTAGAGTTATCGCTAGTTAACACATGGAATAGATAGCATACTTGCCGTATAGGCAAATGCAAAAAAATATAAATAAAACAATAACATGCCCCATAGACAAGGTGGGAATGCGGTCAAACGCCTGTCAAGTTTTCGTAAACACGCTGATATGGTCAGGGTCACGAAACTTTCAAAATATTTTTATTTTATTTATTTTTATTCGTGTAGCCAACCGCTTTTATTAATTACAAAACCAAATGTATGTATTAACAAAGAATATATAATATTGGTGTGTCTGTGCGTATGTATGTGAAAGAGCTGTACTGATTCACTTACATAAGGCTGTAGGAAAGAAAGGTTTCTTTGGCACAACATCGCTTAGATATCGAAAATCGAGATCAGCATCTTTTACTTCTACGTTGTGTTTATCAATACCAAGATAAACCGACTTCACGGATGGCAGGAGTGTCACATCTTTGTAAGATAGAAGTTTCTGTCCGAAGACAATATTGTTCTTATCGACTTCGGTGTTCTGTAATTAAATTATAATTAAAGTATTAGCTTAAAATACAGAACGAGAAATAAAATGGGAAGTATTCACAAATGCTCAATAGATACTAATAACATTTATCAATGTAAATAGAGAGTTATCTGATATAAAGATTATTACATACAAAAATATATAACCCTTAATTAGTGCTGAAAAAATACATTTTATTAAAATGTGGGATCTCTCTGTATCTTCTACCGCATGGAGAGTGTTCAGAGTAGTTTCATCATCGGACGTCAAGGCACAATACAAAATACCATTCGTATCACTTTGACGTCCGTCGTTCCACAACTGAGCGTTTCTTAAGGCAATTTCTGCCGCGCACCACCACTATGTGGAACCAGCTGTCCACTAAAGTATTTCCTAACCAATTCTATGAAGGAGCCGTCAAGAAAACACCAAACCTTAAAAGGTCGGTAGCGCGCTTGCGAGACTTCTGGCAGTGCGAGTGTCCATGGGCGGCGGTATCACTTAACATCAGATGAGTCTCCAGCTCGTTTGCCTACTGTTCCATAAAAAAAAACTTTTTTGTATTCAAGAGTCCAAATAATAACAACATATAAAATTCAAGAATTTTTCATCTAATGGTATTTTTTAGTATATCATTATAAAAATTTTGTGTGGTGAAAGGCGGTCGATGGATTTACAAACACTATGACACGAGTTATAACAGATTTATAATTAACTACCGGCGTCTCTTCTATCATGGAAGTATAATTAAATCCCTGATATAGGAACATAGAGTGAGTCTTCAATCCATCACATTGGCTTTCACCCTTGACCTGAAGCCAGTATCCACCACTCGGTTGGTCAGCTCGAACCACAATGTCCATACGTTCACCTAAAATTAAAATATTCTATTCAAGAATCGCGTTCAAGTATTACGTAACGAATTTGGGGGGGGGGGTCCTTTTGTAAAACGTTACGATGCGGGATGGGGATTGAATTACGCGGTATTGTTAATATTATTTTCGACTTACGAAAAACGTTACGGCGCGTTACATGGGGGGGTGTAAATAATCTCCAAAAATTGCGTGACCTAATACTTGAACGCTCCCAACACAGGCTTAAGGTTAAAGTGTCTTTTACACATCTACTATAACTATAACTTCTGTTCTCTATTTCGGACACACGAATATAGTGTCAAATCATTATAGAACACTAAGACTGTTTATGAACATTTCCTTAGTTTAGGATATTCTAGTATTGAAGAAAATGAAGTCTAATACTTATTTAATAATGTAATTCATGTATAGTCGCACTCTCCTTTCTTTTGATAACGTTTTTGTAAGAAAAAAGAAGTAACTACAGTTATGTAACCTAATATTAATTAGTTTCATATAATATATTTTAGTTAATAATTAGAAACGTACACAAAATGTAATCATCGCTCACTTGAAGACTATATGAGCCCTTTAGTCATAAATTGTAATTTTACATTCTCGTTTCCGATAATGTCCAAAAAGGTCGACACACTTGTATTGCAGTGAAAATGAGATTTATAAACCCTTAAATAAGCTAAGTTAGCTTTTGTAAGCGTCGCCACCCAATTACAACCACAACCCCTCATTTTATGTTAGTTGATCACGATCGACGATACTGTTGATACGATCAAAAGTAAGTTGTTACCCAGCTTCAAAGTGTTTCATTTAAAATATAATATTTGAACATATCCATACAACAACCGCCATCGAACTCAACTAACAGTAAATATATTTTCTAAGTCTTCAATTGTATTAGTAGAAAATATTTCAATTGATTGTGAACCCAACACGTAACATAAATTACTATCTATTGATAGCTCCATTTTCAAAATATCTATACGCCAACTATCAAAATAAAATCAATTTAAATTGTCTATCATTACTAATTTAGTCCCATACTAACAAGTTGTCAATACATAAATCATCTCGCTATAGAAAGTGAGATTGCAAAGTGAAAACTGGTTTCACGGTTATTATCTGACCTCCAAGATGAACAATACTTTCTCTGTGTTTTTTACGTATACGTTCACATTTTAACTTCGAGTTTTAAATGCCGGATGGAAAAAAACAAGTCATTAAGTATAATTGTATTGCCATAAAATACTAAATTTATTGTCTAACACTTTCATAAATCCAAGTCAAAATGTCACCACAGAATGGTTATTTCGATTAGAAGCAAGAACAGTAATATGTGTGAATAATTAAAAAATATTTAATACTAAATATTATATAAGAGCAGTGTTGGCCTAGTGGCTTCAGCATGCGACTGTCATCCCTGAGGTTGTAGGTTCGATCCCGGGCTGTGCACTAATGGACTTTCTACCTATGTGTGCATTTAACATTCGCTCGAACGGTGAAAGAAAACATCGTAAGTAAACCGGCTTGCTTTATACCCAAAAAGTCGACGGCGTGTGTCAGGCACAGAAGGCTGATCACCAACTCGCCTATTAGATTGACAAATCATGAAACAGATACAAAAATCTGAGGACCAGACCTAAAAAGGTTGAAGCGCCACTGATTTATTTTATTATTCTTAAGTTAGGCTAGATCGTAATGTTAAATGATGTCTTTGATTGTCTCAAAAGCCATATATATTTAAAAATATATGGGCTCTGAGTAATTAATAAACAATTGCGTAACAATGTTTTGTATAAAGTATTATCAATAAAGCTCACAAGTCAACGTAAATCTTTAATTATGTCGAACGTTAGGTAAACAGAAGATGTTTACATAATAAAATGCTTCCTTCATGTCACATAAAATTACTTCCTAATAATAATGTCGTAAAAATACAGCTTTTATAGGTGGCAACATGGTTCGTGTAGTTTCCCTGTTTCTATACAATATTTTTAATATTGCTTATATGCTTTAAAACATTTTTCATTGCAATAGGAACAGAAAATTAAAATTTTAAATGCAGCGTTGTAGATTCGAACCCCTATTGTACTCCGGGTTTGCCATTCTGATAAATAATAAACTACAAGCTCCCACCTTTTCAGAATGCCAAATCATAAAATGACTGCTTCACGACTGATTTGAGAGCGACCGCCGATGCGAAAACCGCTCTGTGAGTTCGAAAAGTAAGTATCGCAGGGCTGTAGACCTTCACTACGTCGGAGGTCGAGTAATATTGGTTAACATGACATGGACGTAATCTTATCTAAATCTAATGCCGTACTCGAATAACGGCTAGCTTTTTTATAACTATCAGACACAAAAATCTTTACTAAAAAAGAGTGCCAGTTCTTTTAAATTTGTTTGTAAATGTACCCAACTACGCAATTGAGATTTATAAAAACAACATACACAATAATATTATTAAAGTATTTTTGTATAAATCCGTACTTCGTTTACAATTGATTGCCATGATATTTCCTGCCTTTGTTTTCAAAAGGTCATTGCCCTTTTTGAATCCTTTAAACTTCGTTAACTTTAGATACAATATTGCCATCATCATAAATAATAATGTAGCGCGGGAAGTTGCCACTTTCTACAACATATTTATTTATATCTAACAGATGCAAATTACCGCAATGTTTTGTGTGAAAGTGGTTTGAAAGATTTATATCAGCTTATATTTTACGTAATCAACTTTTCTCGTTTCTTTTAAATTTATTGTAAATGTATTTACGATTTTTATTTTGAATTTAAATAATAAAATACCGACGTTACCGAAGCATGCAATGCTTTAGACAAACTTTTTAAAATTGCCTTTAAAATGCAGTTTTTATTATTTGAAATTAACAATGGAAAACTACACGTCTCCTATTCATTCTTTTGACGAATTAATGACCATAGACAAAATGAGGATGGAAAGAACCACGGGAAGATGAGATGGCGCCCTTAAAGGTGGATAGAAGATATAGAAGCGTTAGCCGCAATCGAATGAAGAATGAAAGCCATGGATAGAGCATTTAAATGTTTGGAAAAAGCTGGATGAGGCCTTTACCCGGGAAGGGTTTCCGATCAATGGTACTGCAGGTAGTTAGGGAATCGAGAAACACAAAGAAAAAATACGTACATATTTGTATTCCATCGTCATTCATGAATCCGTGAGATTAGCGTTTTAGTTTTTATTTTTTTTTATTAATATTTTTTGCACTTCTTGCACTTTACTCATCATATTTCTTTTATTAGTTTTTCCCCTTACTAGGGTTAACTATTATATATGTTATAATTAATTAATAAATATATACGATGAATGGGTGCGAAACAAGAGAATGACCTGGTGAAAGCAAGAAGGTCGAACATAACTTTCAGGAAACATTCATAATAAGGAAGAGAGAGAAACAGTTGAAGCTTTAAAGTCCTTGAAAATAAATATTTAACATTAATGTTTGTGTTTTTATGTTTATAATAAATATAACGAACAAATAGGGCGTCAATTTACCGCCACAATTTGTTAGCACTAACTAAAACTACGTACCTGGATATAACCTCACAGTGCTTGTGGTAACAGGTTGGACTGGTTTCCCGTCACTTGCGACAACAGTCACCATATGATCGTCTATGCTGATGAGTACAGGGCATTCGAGGGCTATTGCGTTTATTAACCGTAATCGGTAAGCATATGTCTGCATCACAAATATCCTGTAAAGACAAAATTAAGCTTGGATAATTGTTTTATTTCAAACAGCACACATGTTAAAATGAGGGCAGTCGTTGTGGTTTATGACATTTTCCTTTAAATAATTGTAATGTAGAGGGAGGGTAAAACTTGCTGAGTTTCTTGCCCGTTCTTTTCAGAACAAGGACTCCTGGTAGTTTTGCGAACGGATGACGTAGTCTTGCTCTTTCGCGAATTTTGTAAACGTTTTTGACATTCATAAGCATGCGCTAAGACATCTAAATTGAATAAACGTATTTTGATTTTGATTGATTTTTTGATTGAGTCAGATACTTATGGAAATATGTTATAGAAAGGATATACACGTGTGAACATGACATGAGAACTTAAGAAGGCGCCACCAGACCCATGCAACTTCCTCACAATAGAGTTGACCGTAATATAACACAACTCACGAGGAAACTCCCAGCATCCGCGAACATACAATTTAAATACATAATTATGTAGCAATAAAGAAAATAACAAATAATTAACACAGCAAGGTTGCTAAAACGACTCGGCGAAATGTCTCTATGGAGTTGCTGAAAATCTCCACCGAGTACAGTTTTGAAAGTCCGACACAATCTGTCGAAAATCGAAATTGAAAAGAAGAAAGAAAAAACTTTATTACATATAATAAAAAATAATGTATAGTTAAAAGAGAAAGCGAACCCACACTAGGATTCCCTGTATCGAGGGCTAGTCTCTTCCATTTGACATATTATTTTAGGTACTTCAATTAATAAATTCTACGTATCACTTACTATTTTATAATTAACTACTATTGCAGAAAAATTAAACGTTCCGTTTCAGCATAGGACATGTTGAGAGGATCTCGCTTAAGTAAGTGAATATGTCAGACCGATTCAGTGAATTTAACTTACTTCGTATAATCTTGTCCATTGATCACCAATCCATCTGGTAAAACCTTGGTGAGGTCTTCCAAAGTCCCCGAAAGTAGTTGAGGGAACCTAGCACCAATGACGAGCGTATGTTCTTCCCTCCTATTAAAGTCATATAATGAGGAATGGGGTTCTAGCGGTTGTGGTTGGTCTACTATCAGAGAGCCGTAGACGCCATCGCTTTGGTGAGTTACTGAAAAAAATCATCAATCAACTTAACTGGTACTATATAGGTCGACAACGCACCGGTATTTGGGGCCCAAGGGCGGTATCATTAAGTAAGCGAACAGCCCAAAGGCTGACTTTAATTTAAAAAAGTCACACCAGTCCTAATCTAATAACTGGTCCAGCTTCTGAACCAACTGGAAATTGTTGACAGACAATCAAACCCTTGATGTGATACATGAAAAGAAGCCGACAGCAACACAAATTATTTTGCTTTTCTTATTTGAAATTTTACGTTCACACAAATTAAATCGAAAATTAAGGCCTGTCATTGCTTCTAAATCTGTTTCCTAGGACACATAGAACCTCCAAAAACCTCAAAAAAAAAACAAATGCCCTCTTATCAACGACTATAATATAATCAAGTCATACATGATATTACAACATAAAATCGCATTTATTTATAAATACCGGAACCGGATTACTAGAACTAGTTTGACAGAGACACGAATATTGTAGAATTTATTTATTTTACATTATGTATATTTAAATTAATTTATGTCTGACCTTAAGATACATTGTTGTGTCTTAAAGCAGATTGTTTAAAAAGATAACACCAAAATACTAATTATATTTATTAACCCTACATACACACACATGCATAAATAAAGACTCAAAATACACGGTCTTATCGCTAAAGTAATTCCAGTATTTTTTTATAAAATGAGCAGGAGGAGGCATGTTAAGTGATGTGCCCATAGACACTCACACTGCCAGAACGTTTGCGATTGCGTTGCCGGTATTTTAACCAGTATTTAAATAAAGAAATGTAGGTAGTCGGGAATATTTAAATCCGAATCCTTTACGTTTTCTTTATATTTTTTTAAATTTATTTATTTGATTATGAAATAAAAAAAAGGAAATGAGAAAAATCAAATTACTCTAAATACTTGTCGAGATTATTAACTGGAATATTTTCAATCTTTTTTATGAATAGTGTTCCTAGATAGATGCGCAATCGAATGTAACATATATTTTTGGTGCGCATGCATAGTTTTTTGTAAAAAAAGATGTAACTCGATCATGTTTCTGAACCGCCACAACGACTACTCCTCGCAGGTAGTTTGGAAGCGTATTTTTTGTAAATTTTATGTTCACCGTAATTTTCATATATTTAAAAACAATATATTGCAACTTATACTGTAGAAAATGTATACGTTTTGTCATATATATTTGATTTATTATAATTTTCTCTAAGAATCCCTTTCCCGTATGCGACAAGATATTTTACATTTGTTCCATGTGCCTCGTACGAACACGAATTATCTGCGTCACCAATATTTTGGGTTTTAGCTAACTATAAGATGTTGACATTTTCCATTTTAACGTAAGGATGCGAGGAAATATTTTGAGAGGCTTGAAGACTATTACTTTATTTAGCAGTTGTAACAATTTAGTTTTTTTCTTTTAAATATTAAGTTGTCGTTTGTTTAATGTTTAATTTCTTTTTGAAGTGAAACTTCTTTATCGGGGTTGGAAAAAAATTTAGTGTAACATTTTTGCGTTACGCGTCACATTTTTCCGTTACGCGCCATGTTGCTTTTTGAAGTCAAACTTCTTTATCGGCGTTAAAATATGACATATAGTATGTTTTTGACTTTGAAGTTTGACAACGGATTACATTTTCGACTTGAAATTTGCTAATCGCAATTTGCAGCAATTTTTTTTTTTTTTTTGAAGTGAAACTTCTTTATCGAGGTTGGAAAAAAATTTAGTGTAACATTTTTTCGTTACGAGTCACATTTTTCGGTTACGCGCCATGTTGCTTTTTGAAGTCAAACTTCTTTATCGGCGTTGGAATGAAACCTCTTTATCGACGTATGGGAGAAATTTTGTAGCAAATCGTCATGTTTTTCAATCATAGTAATAATTCTATTACAATTAATGAAATTCTATAATAATCTTCGTAGTAATAAGGTAAAATGAAATATTTGTATTCATGTCTATGATAATAAAAGCCTTTTGTTAAACTTTATCTAATTTAACGAATTTCTGTAAAGTTGCATATAGTAGATCATTTTTCGAAAAATAAGATCATAAAGAAGTTTCACTTCTTACGTGTGTACATCTAGTACACGCACAATTTTTTTTTATCCTTAATGTACTTAATTGACTTCGTATACTAAGTGTTTTATTTTATAATATGGATATGTGTAGCTGTAAGATTACTTTAAACTAAATAATTTATGATTGTTACTACAATATATAGTTAAAAGACTAGAATATAAATAACCATCGAAGTAATCATAATTACTTTCACTCGAGCCTTGTGTATGTGTAGGAGACTAGTCACTAGATGAAAACACTTTCTTCGTAACTCGCTTATCTCTCGATAGCAGTATCGTAAAGATTTCTTTTTGCCTTCCTGTTTGTTAATGATAGGTGTGTTTCCGGCGAAACAATAGCCCGTGTGGATGAGATACTCAATAAAAGATTTAGAAATGTGCTCAATATAATACTGGCCTAACTACATTATCAAATGTTTGTAAAAGCCTAAGTCATAAATCTATTATACATTGAATATTGGTATTGTAATTTCAATTAAAATCCAAATATCTCTATATATAATATTCTCGTGTCACAATGTTCGTTCCCATACTCCTACGAAACGGCTCGACCGATCTATCTTTCAAACCCCGAAGTGATAAGGGTGTACACTGTACACCGCAAAAAAATATTTTATTTTTTGGACAAAATTTTTTGTTTTTATTTTTTTTATGATGCAGCATACACAAATACATACAACCCTTAATTTTTACCCCTCTACGGTCAACCCCTACTTTTTATGATAGTTATTTTTATAGAACTAAAATAATGTTTCCTATAAATAATATAAGTACATGGCAAAACAACTTTTGCCGGGTCAGCTAGTTAGTTATAAAAATTTGACACAAACCTAAGAAATCTCAATCGAACCTTTTGGTAATAAACAATCCGACTACTACAAAACGTGTTGGACAACCTTATGAAAATACCTACTGAAACAATGATACATACCACGTAGATATCAGTTACATTGGCCGTATACTTTCTAAAAATTTCATACATCTCACCTGAATCAGCATGGTAAAAAAATGTCCCAGGCGAAGACGCCTTGAACGCATATTTGAAGGTGGAGCCATAGCTGATAGGGCACTGTGTGATCATAGGAACTCCATCCATATACGGCGTCCCACGCTGCTCCAATCCATGCCAGTGTATCGCCAGATCTTGGTCCGGTATTTTATTCCTGACCTCCACGACGATTATATCGTGGATACAGACGTGTATGGGTGGACCTGGGGTCTGTCCGTTGATGGAGAGAGGTATTTTATCTAAGGTAGGCTCTATGTCAAACTTGTAATAACACCTTCGCGGTTTCACGTTGAACTTGCAAGGTCGATGGCACGATTTGTCTGTAAAGCATTTTGCAACTGAATTGCGTATTGTAAAAAGGAAAATTGTTGTTTACAAAGAATCAACGTATTATAGTTGTGAAACCATAAACAGTTCATCTATTATTATTTACTTATATTATTATTATTAATGCATTTCTACGGTTTGTTTAAGTTTTGGTTAATACTTTTATCGACGAGCAGTGTTGGCCTAGTGGCTTCAGATTGCGACTCTCATCCCTGAGGTCGTAGGTTCGATTCCCAGCCGTGTACCAATGGATTTTCTTTCTAAAAAATTGCTTAGGCCCAAAAAGTCGACGGCGTGTCACATACTAAGGATGCTCATCACCGACTTTCCTATTAGATTGACAAATGATCATGAAACAGATACAGAAATCTGAGGCCCAGACCTAAAGAGGTTGTAGCGCCACTGATTTATTTACCTGTAGCTCATTACCGAAGAAATATATATATGTATTATGTACATGTGATTGTCAGCACTGAACCGGTTTAAATAGATGTATGTTAACAGTATATTTTGAAGGTCATATGTATGTAATTACGGGCATTGTTTCCATTAGTTGTTAAATGTAAGCTTAGTTGGCAAAAGGGCCTGGAGTCCTGGGTTTTGTTCCTTTAAGTAATTGTATGGAGAACACAAGAAAATAAAACACAGCTTACTTGCCCATGTTTGGTCGCAGATCACTATGAACCAGACAACACATTTTACTTTATAAAATCAGCGAGAATTTAATATTAACTTACCTGAACTTTTGGTGGTATCCGTCAAAAAATTCGCATCATTCGATGGCGCGAAACTCTCCAGCGAAGCCTTACCATCGTTGCTTATATTTGAGATAACAAACACGAAAAAAACAATCAATTTCATTTTTAAACTTAATATAAAATATTGTATAACTGATTTTAATGCACAAGACGTGTAGTTGTCGCCGCTAGTCCGGCTTCACTAAAGTTTACAAGGCGAAGGCAATCTAAAGCCCGCAGTCCGCATTATGGAGGCGTTGCAATTTCCACTACAAGTTTCGTTTACTTCGACACGTTTTTAATTGAGATATCTAGAAAATGATAATAATTGTTTATTTGCAAGAATATGGTACAAAATTGTCATGGTGGTACAATCCAAAGCTATATATTCATATTCTGAGTAATATCATTACAGTCAATTCTTATATTATTTTATCACTACATCATCACGTTATTAAAATTACGTTATCAAATTAATATTAATTATAATGATTCACGCAAATAATCATTAATAGAATACATTTTTCCAAAAGTAGTACATTAAGTCGTTTTTAAAAACTAGTATGAATATCTTTTAATGTTTTTGGTAAATTATTAAAAAACTTGATTGCCATACAAAAGTAGTTTTCATACGGCCAAAATTAATAATGTATCCTCAATCTATGATTATAACCAATCTTGGACTGATTCATATCTAAAGACCGATCTCCAATCTGCATGCCAATAAACATTTCTGCTATCCGATTGTTTATTTGACAAAAGATTGACAGCAATCTTTTGCGTGATCCTTCCCTCTCGACCGCGTTTCGTTCAATGCAATATATTGTGTTCAAGCATACCAAAAGTGTGCTGTTTTTGGAACGAAATAAAATAAGTAAGACTTAGGGTCTGTTTCACAATGTATGGATAAAGTAGCAAATAGCTATGCAACGTTTTTGTTTGTTTTTTTGTTACGAACAAATAAAGTTACAAAATTCTATAGAAAAACATAGAACCTTAACCTTTTTGTTGGTCATTTAATATTACTTGTAACGAAACGGGCTGTCATTTTCATATGGTATTTTTGTTTGTTAGGTTATTGAGTATTTTCGTATATATTTTAGTTCGGCGCCTTCAGCTTGACCTTTCAAATATAAATTTTCTCTGAGTAGTTTGTGTATGTTGTTTTTGTGATTCGAGGTTGGTTCTTTAACTTAAAAAAAATGTCTACGCAAAAACGTGAAAGAAGCGTCAATTTCAGCCGGGAAGAAGTTGACCTTCTAACTTCGCTTGTTGCTGACCATAAAAATATATTAGAAAATAAAAAGAGTGACTCAGTCACCTGGCAGGAGAAAGAGCAGTGCTGGAAGACGCTGGAGGCGCTGTTTAATAGCACAAGTGGGGTAAACTTTCTCAGTGCTAAAGCTTAAAGAAGGCTACAAGAAAAAAGTCTGCCTTGATACATGCTGAAACATATCGTACAGGAGGTGGCCCTAGTGCTGCTACTCCTCTTACCCCTATCGAGGAAAAAGTCAAAGACATGATATTGTTGTCTGTCGAAGGAATTGAAAGTCAATTGAAAGGAAGAGCTTCTAAATAAGAGAAAGCAACGGGCATTTGAAGAGGAAGCAAGAGAGCATAAAAGAGAATTATGGGCCATAGAAAAAAATATATTGTTAAATAAATTAGAAAAATAATAGATTTTGTGCCTGGAGCAAGGATGTATTGTATTAAAAATTTGTATTTTTATTTGAATAAAAGCATTGAATTTTTATTTAATTTATCTCAAAAATGTTGTAATTTATAAAATATTATAGTAATAAAGCAAAATAATCCCTTATAAGATTACTTCGCCCACTTGCATTTCCCACGTTGTCAATTGCGCTTTGATCAATATCATTAGCTGGTTCATCTTCATTAATTCTTGTCTTCTTATGTCTTTGCACAGAAGTACGTTGTCTTCTTCCAGCTTCAGAATTACTATCCCAATCGGATAATTGCATTTAAACTTCCAAATCACTATCACTAGAACTGGAAGATGACGAAGATGAATAAATTTTCCCAATGAATATTAAGTTAGGTCGCAATCCCAAACCCAAATCATACGAGTTTCACCGATAGCAATCCGAGATTGATTTGGCCAATCGAAGCAACTGTCAAAATGGACAGATAGGTTGGTGGCATGAGTAAACATTCATTTTCATACAGAGGCCAATCTTCAATCTCTTATCCGCCCTCTGAACGATTGGTTGAATAATTAGATTGGTATCTCAGTCCATGGATTTAATATTGGCATGCTTTTCTTTAGAAATGGATTGAATTGTCAGTCTATGACAGCTAAAATTGGATTGAGATTGCATATTGGTTTTGGCTGATATACAGTTCCAGATGAATTTTTGCACTGCCAATTTCTCGTCATGTCTACTTCGACAGTTGTCTATTCTCGTTGACTTAATAAAACCATGACATTAATATGGGAGCGAGGATATGCCAGTATTAGGTAGGTACTCTTCTGCTTCTCTACTCTTTCATTTATTTATAATGTATATGTAATAAGTATTGTAAAATATAGTATATATAAAGAATATAAACTATTTAGAGTCGATTCGACCAAACAAGAGTAAATCTTAATCTTAGAATAAATCGTCAGTTAATCGAGAGTAAATCAATTTTACGTTTTACCAACTACATACAAATTCTAAGAATAGTGGGCCTATTCGGGAATTGCTACTATACCGCCGTTTCGCACGGAATAACAACTATTCCTAGAATAATTTAATGGCGTCAGTCAGTCCAATCATCTGATTTCTGTCATTTCACAAATATGTATTCTGTGTTTTAATTTCAAGTCAAAGCAACGCACTAAATTAATAGTCTGGCATTGTATAATGAAACGTTTAAACCATTTATTATTTATTTATTTATTTTTAGATTTTTTATTTCCTATAATATTAGAATGAAATTCAACTAGGCTCAACAGAAGTTCCTTTTTAGACGAAAGCCTTAAACAAACAACAAATAAAAACTTTTTGTTGTCGTGTGACACCTGTTAAAAGCTACTTTTTCACACTATAATACGGCAAAATAGAGTTGACATGATGTATGCTCTTACACTGTCCCGTTGTAGAACAACATTTATTTGCCGAGTTTTATTTTCGTTCACCATTCTCTTTGCTATTCGCGTATTGTTATTCCTAGCGCAATTATACTATCGATTACGTGGAGAAACGACTATGAATTTACTCGAGATTAAATTCATGGAATAGATTATTCCTGGTATAGTTACTCGTGTATAAATTGAAGTTTGGTCGAATCCACCCTTAGACGTATTTGAAGAGACTAAATAAAAGACTTCAAATTTAGAATAACACGTTTTACCAATTACTAATAAACGGAATGCGATTGTGTTTTATTTCATACGCCTTATAAGTGAAGCCAATTCAATAAATTTCTTATTTTTTATTAGAACTGCGTTTGCTCTAAATTTCCGCAAAAAAAGCAATTAAATTAATATTATCGGGACTATTGCAGCTCCCAATAATAAGAAGCTTCATGCAATAGCATCGTTCCATTTGAGCAAGATTTTACTAGATTTTATTTCTTCATGTTACCGGATTGACATTATTAGTGCAAAACAATATTCCGTGTGTTTAGAAATGTGTCTGAGGAAATCACTGAGCTATAGTGTTTTAGTATTTCACGTTGTAAACAAATTAGGAATAATTTGTGATCAATTAAAAACACACTATTACAGTCATTATTGTTTTCAAAAGCTACCTTAGCCCGTGGATACCCATATATATGTACCCACCCAGCCTCTGAGACAGGAGTATATTCTTTTATTAAGCACTTGTAGGTATAATATGACCTAGGAAAGCCCTCCACTGGAAGTCAATTCCACAGCTCGCTAATTCGCAAAAGGAAATGCCGCAATTTGGAAATATTTTCTGAAACCCTGGATTACTTATTACTTATAAGGATATTCGAAGAAAATGCAAGTGCCTACTTGAACTAAAACTGTAAGTTTATTCAAATTACTTTAATATAAATTTATTCGACTCTCTCTGACAAATTACGTTCATGCTTATAGTTAAAAAAAATGAACGAAACATATCAGTATCAAGTATATTATATGAATATAGTTTTAGTTGGTTTTTAATAAATACCCATGTTTTAAAAAAAAATCATCTTCTACTGCATGTACAATTGAGAGTGTTCAGAGGAGTTGTTCGGACTAATAACTTGTAATACCTGCAGCTGAGTTTCATCATCGTATGTCAAGGCAGAATTCAAAATACCATCCGTATCACCTCGAAGTCCGTCGTTCCACAACTAAGCGTTTCTTAATGCAGTTTTGCCGTGCACCATCACTATGTGGCCACTAACCAGCTGGTTAGCTGCCCTCTAAAATATTTCTGAACCAATTCGACTAAGAGTCTTTCAAGAAAAGAGCGTACCAATTCTTAAAAAGCCAGCCATGCAGTTGCAAGCCTTCTGGCAATATGAGTGTCCATATCTCATGAGGCGGCGGTATCTCTCATCAGGTGAGCCTCCTGCCGTTTGCCTCCTGTGAAAAAAAACGTGCCAAAACTAGGACTAACCTTCTGAAAAGGACACATATGATTTTCCGGGTTACAGTAGTCAACGGATTCCATAATTTAACGGACCTTTTTTACTATCCGTTGAGTGAACTGACAAAAGTTCTACTATTTGTTCGTGCCTATAGTTTGTTGTTTGTTTTTCAACATTACTTTTTTATGTTTGTGCGGAAATTGAAACCAACCTTTAATTTTTAGACAATGTAATTATCATGTAATACAGGATATTTTTCTTATTTAAGAATTAGAACTAGACAATAGCTATGAATGTAATCAATTGTTACCAAAGCAACTGTCAGCCAGATTTGTGCATTGTAAAATACAATTCAGGCTATGTTCAGATGGCAAAAACTTGACGCGCGTTTTCAAATCGCGCGACTAGAGATTATGGTATTTTTCATACAACTGTTCACATGTACGCGCGTTAACGCGCGTCAACGCGGCGCTCAGAGAAAAAGTCTCTAGACGCAGGTGATCGCGCGTTGACGCGCGCTTTGATATTAATGTAATGTCCGTTTGCTGTTCAGATGAGCGCGCGCTTTCATCG